AAAAATTGAACTTCGGAAAGACGAGATGATTTTCCATGGGCATTTGCTAACAACACAAGGCGTCAGAGTCGATCCAGGAAAGATTAGGGCGATTCGAGAAATGCCGCCTCCTAATGACGTAAAGGTACTCCATCGCTTGGACCGTATTGTGAATTATTTGAGCCATTTTATGCCAAGACTCGCTGATATCATGATGCCGGTCAGGAAGTTAACTCACAAAGGAGTAAAGTGGAGTTGGGAATAAATCAGGAAACCGCATTCAAAACTATTAAGAACCTCATCAACAACACGCCTGTACTCAGGTATTACGATCCAACGCAGCCTTTGGTGGTACTGTGTGACGGTATCCAAGAAGGAATAGGTTCTGCTCTATTACAGAATGGAAAACCTTTGGATTTCCTCAGTCGAGAACTCACCGTGACCGAGCAACGCTATTCGTAACATGCGAAGGAAATGTTTGCGGCAGTCTACGACATGGAGCATTTCAACGATTATACTTTCGGAAGAAAGAAAACGTTGTATACCGGCCAAAAATAGCTTGTGTCAATAGCCAGGAAACCGCTAAATTCCGTTCCTCCTCGCCCTCAACAAATGCTTATCTGGCTTAAAAAGTACGACGTGGATATTTTGGATACGGCTGGTGCACAGATGTTCATCGCAGATATGCTATCAAGAGCTCATCTGCCGGTACCCGAACATAATCCGGAAGAAGTCGAATCAGTAAACTTAGTACAGCACCTCGCAGTGCCAGAAGCTCGCCAAAAGAAAATAAGGCGCCACACGTAGGAAGATGCAAAGCTTTCAGCTTTGCGTGACGTTATTCTCTATGGGTAGCCAGAGACCAAGAAGTAGCTGCCGAAGGAAGCAACAACCTAATTCAATTTTCGGGATGAACTCTCTGTCTATGACGGTTTGCTGTTCAAAGGGAGCCGTATTCTGATTCCGTCAGTGCTCTGAGGTGGTATGCTGAAATACGTTCATCGCGCTCCCCTTGGTGCCAATTATACCATGAACCGAGCAAGAGAATTGCTATTTTGACCAGGAATGACGGGTCAAATAAATGATCATGTATCAAATTGTGCAGCGTGCCGTTCACACGTAATCCTGCAGACAAGGGAACCAATGATGCTGCATGATGTCCCTGATCGACCGTGGCAGAAGTTGGCGGTGGACTTATTCAATGATAATGGAGAAGATTACTTACTCACGGTGGATTACTATAGTGATTATTTTGAAATCGACATACTCACCACTACGACCACAGAGGCAGTAATCAGCAAGCTCAGATGTCAGTTCGCGCAACACGGTAAACCTGAGGAGCTGGTCTTAAACGATGAGCCCCAGTTTAATAGCGGTGCGTTCCAGGCGTTCGCAAGTAAGTGGGAATTCATGCACTAGCAAACCAGTCCATATCACAGCCAGTCGAACGGGAAGGTGGAGTCGGCATTGTAGCAGGCCAAGCGGCTGTTATCAAAGGCTAACGAAACTGGCGAGGACCCGTACCTAATACTGCTAGAGAATCGCAACACTCCTGCAACGAATATCGGTTTGAGCCAAGTGCAGCGTCTATACAGCCGAAGGACTAGAACTTCTACAGGCACCTGCCCCACTATCGCGCCCAGTTTCGTCAAAGGACGAACGATTACAGAACAATCTTAGACGACCAATTACAATTCAGAAATGGGACTATGACCGCGGTGCACGGGTACTACCTGAGCTAGCAGTGGGGGAAGCAGTGTAGATTCAACCACTACCCGATAGTCAAGAGCGGTGGAAAAAATGCTGTGGTGACTGCTAGGGTCAATGCCAGGTCATACGAAATAAACGTTGGAGGGAAAGCGTTCAGAAGAAATCGAGTGCATTTGAGACCACACCGCAGACAACTATGTGGATTGGGAGTAGATTGGCAGATGACAAGGTCCAAGGATACAACTGCCGCAGATACGGCGAAGATGCTGAAGAGTGGTCAGTTGTACGGGGTGGATCGCAATATGGAGGCGAAAGAACAGGAATAATGGGAGGATGTGATGGTAGTATCAGATCAGAGTGAGCAGATGGACCAATCAAGCGAGCCAAACAGCCATTGGGCGGGGAACGTGAGGGATTCGATTAATGGACTCGGATTGGCTCATATTCATGTGAGTGGTTCACCGTTTGTTTAACTGAAGCAGCGAAACCTCATCGACTCAGATGCGGCGTTAGTTGTGGACTTGAACCTGCAATTTATATCGAGGAGTTTGGCTTGCTGTACATGCTGTGATTTTCGCTTAGCTGTGTTTGCCGAATAAGCGCTTGTTCCTGAAGGACTGAGTTCTGCCACAAGACCAATAACTATTTTTATGTCATCGTGTTCTTCTATTAAATGTAATGAGCAACCCACTAGAACTGCTCCATATACATTGTCTTTATGCAAAAACATCGCTTGAGACTACGCTTTCAACTATCCATAAAGAATTTCTACTCACGTAGTTCATAGGAGATAATCTCCAATTCCGTCAAGAGACCTTCATCATTCATCCATTATACATGTTAGTCACAGGTGGAAAACGCCTTAGCTATTGTGTCGCAATATAAAAGAAAAGAGGAAAATATGTGCGACATAGGCACGTCGTCTGTCACCAGTAACGGATGGAAATTGTTCTGGAGAGCTAACAGCTAGTTATTGTGCCGCAAAAATGTGTTGTATTTAACCTAATAAATGAGATCGTGTTTAGAGTGGGAGGCTCATCGGGAGGAGAAGAAACAAAAATCTCACAACACCAACGCCACTGAGGTGGATTCCTTGCCATGTTAACAAGTGTATCCAGACAAACGTGTTCATCGTTCTTATCGATGCTCGCCGGCACATTCCCGCTGGAAGCGAACACAATGAGACCCGCTAAGACCACAGGGCAACACTACGTGTTAGCCTGAATAGTGGCTGCGAATCATCGTGGTCACATCATGCGTCAGAGATGAGAGTGGCCGATGCTCTTGGTAACCATCGGAATTTATTCCGTCTGATTCGGGAAGCGGACAGCAGGAGACGTGGAAGATCAAAGTATAAAATAAATTGCTTGTCTTCTGAAAATAAGCCAAGAAATTCTAATCACATATTCCGAAGAAGGAAACTATTGCCATGCCGTTAATCGAATGTTTTCAAGTGGCCTATAGCCAAATAACACGGCCGCTCTCTTAGAAAGCCCTAGATCACTCACTAAGCCATTCAATTCTTAATGAGGAAAGTGTTGGGGAGGCCGATGAAAGTTCAGCATCAGTTACAGTTTTCATAAGTTGAAGCCAATTCATGTAACTGGGCCCCATCTTTACGCCCACTGACTTCATCATCTGATGAAGCGAAACCTTTACATTTTTGAACTGCTAGCTCTTCAGAGTGTGGAGTGAGTCGAATTGCAGAGGAAATACTTGGATAAGAGACCTTATGCTGATTTTCGTTACCAATACTTTGTATTAATCATGCGAAATATCAGTCTGTTATGTGGCACGTAGGTTTTCACAAAACCATGGGAACTGCAAATGGCAAGCCTTTGCGTTTGTCTTTTGTCCAGTCACAAGGCATTTCCTTACAATAATGGCACTCAGTGTGAGGTATCCATTTTTGGCCTTGGTAAACAAGGGGTATTTAAAGTTATGATTTATAGACACATTATACAAACGAAGTGATATTTCTCCTTTGACGAACGTCTTATATAGCAAAATGCATCAGGTTCGTTTGTACACGTATGTCGACCTCAGTGAGCCATGGTCATATCCGAAACGAAAGTAGATTGGTATTTAATTTTCTATTCATGTAACATAACAAAATGCATGAAAACTATAGCAGGTGGAGAGGAACAAGTTTCAGATTTGAAATCAGCATTAAAAATTAATGTAGAATCAGTTTAATAAATCCTGCAGCAAAAAGCTGAAAATGGTTTGTTGCCCTGTGTTATAAGTTAGTCATGTTGAACGGATTTCACTCGAGCTCGAATGCGATCATTTACATTAACTCTGGAGAAAACAGCTTTCGCTTAGAGGTAAGGAAAATTAGATCGAGAGTTAGTATTGTCGATAGAACTCTGCTGTCTAGACGATCTCTGCTCCCCAACCTATCTACTCTGCCATACAGCTTAGTGAAAATAACTGCCATGCATTTCTGTTATTGGTCCTCTACTATAGAAAGCGCGGTCGATGGACTGTTGTCTTTGACAAAGCATGCGACTCACCACCCGCTTATTGAAACCGAAACTGTAGGTAAAGAGGATATACCGGAAGTAACAGGCAACACAAAAGATGGCCATCAACCACTGTGGCCTTATCATGTGTATTAAAGACTGAATGTTAAAACTTCGTTAACGTCCCTCCCTTAAATTCATGCGGTCGACTATCTCATGGGAACTATCTTAGTAAAAGTTCGATTGCATTGGCTCTTTCGCAGCCAAATGCATTCGAATAGAGGCAACCACGAAACAGTGCTCCAGCAAGTTGATACACCGATAGGTTGGTTATTTCCGCTCGGTGCTACATTAGGCACCAGCAGCGAAAAGTGCTCCCGCACCACGTAACTCTTCTTCTAATATGTTTTTTCGGCCATTACCCGTCATTCTGAATCTGTTGTAATTTTAGTTTTGTCCCAGTGTTATCATTATCACCTGAAAGTTTCCGCGACTGTTCAGCTTGGCAGCTCTCTGTACAGAGCATTATTTCACTGCAGTGTAGCAGAAATCGCGCAACGCTCCATCCTACTTTAAGGTACCATTTGCTGCGAGATAGATTTGATGGGCTGATCCTTAAACCATTGCCATTGACTAGTCTCAAATGTGAATGTAGTTAGTACTTCCACTCTCTCTCATCTTCTGGCCTCAGGTTTCCTGAGTTCGAAAACAGACGAGGAGGCGACCACTGACCTGGTGGTGGAGTTGGAGAGTGACGGACGTCGGGTAGGTCGACATTCCGTCCCTTTGAAGCAAGCCGTATGGATACCCGAGCCAGTGTTCCATCGTATCACAATAGAGCAACATATGCCTGCATCTGCAAGGCAGTATTTGAAGGACAAGACTTTCATCCCTCACCGGTATCCAACGCAATCAGCTCCAGGGTATCCAGCAGACGGTTCGATCCGGTGGATCGATGAACCCTTGACTAACGACCAACCACTCAGACCGGTGAAGTATTTGCAGTTTTCTGACTGCATGGAACTGCAGGTACGCTGGGGTCATATCATTCAAAAAACAAGAAACGTACTAACTTAAATGCGTGCGCATATCTTCAGCTACAGCCAATGGAATAAAATAACGGTTTTTACGTAGCTATTGTTATTTAATGTGGGTCATACTGGTATCCACTCTGAAGATTTTTCGCAGAGCTAGAACTGCCGACAAGTCTCATTTTCTACACTGAGCTAAATGTTGGTTCAGAAACAAACAGCAAACGCCAAGGTAGAAGCGAGCACGACGTTACACAGCATGGAAGCTAAAACTATCCAACAAGAATTTCAACTCACTTTGTCAAGATTCGTACAACTGTCTATATCTCGGACTCACCAGACTGGTTTTCAATAAACCAACCAAACCAATCCTCTTGTTCTCAGTGACGTAACAACTACATTTCCCTCCCGGAGCGGCAAGCAACCATAATAGAAATGCTGCCCCCTGTCACATGCTGCACGAGGCAGTCCCCCACCGCCTTATGCTACGCCTTTGCTTGTTGGGCACGAGATCGCGCTGTTCAGTATAGGGTAAAACAAAACAAAGCAAAAAACCGCGGCAGATTTGAAGGTGGTTTAAAAACACCCACTGTTAAACTGCCAAGCTGCGTAAGAAAAATTGCAATCGAACTAGCCATCAGTACGCTGCTTCGATCTACTCGGTTTGTAGCGAATAGACACACATAACCGCTCTTGCCTTTTATGAAAAATACATTCATGCTCTTCTCCATTACAAAGGCTTTTTCAAGTCTTATCCAAATAGCATCAAGCTAGCTCCATACCTTGTATCTGATCGTGGTTCCCTGGAAATGCAAGCGGTAATCAATGCGGTTACCTAGGTAATGTACCGGAAACCACAACGCATGGCTTTGATGCGCTGACCGCTGAAATATGTACGTTATTAAGAGAGGCCAGCTTTTGGGAAATCACGACTTTTCGCCATCCATTGTGGCTGTACAAAGGTATGTCGATTGTCCATCTGACGTGCTGTGTTAGCTTCTTAGACTTCACTCCAATTTGACTTCACTTATGCTAACGTCAAACCACAAAATAGGCCTAGTAAATGCTCATTTCGGTCGATAAACCATTGCTGTGTTCACGTCTGTTTCCGCTAGTGGGATGTTATGACATAGTGAATACGGATATTCGATACAAACCCTAGTAGTTAGTTTGTCCAACGTCAGGTTGACCGTGCAACCCCACATAGAAAGATCACCACTCTTGCAGTTTATTGTCGCTTCCCAACTCACGTGTGTATCCATTCCGAAGTCTTAGGTTGTCCCATAATTGCTTTCGCCTTTCGACACTTGCTAATTCCATTGTCATTTATTTAATGAACTTAATTATGCAACCATCCCCATCATGATCAATGACGTGCAAACATTTACTGGGCAAAAGCAGTATACCTTCCTAATAGAAAGAAGGAGGATGACGATCAATGAAGTCGCGAGGTAATTTTTGAACTACTTTTAGTCTGCAAATTTTTTCTCTCGCAGATACTGCTTCAAGGCACAGAAGAGATGACAACTCGATTGAGATATATCAGTGCTATACAGTGGATGGGGTAACGTAGTCCAGTCCAGTTTCCTCAAAATTTGGCCAGTCGATTTTGCAATATGAGATCGAGCGTTGTCCTGGAGTCGTTTCGAACACTTCTCTCGCAATGCTGCGGCCAAATTCCGGAGTTGCTATCCCTAGACGTATGCAATGATTGTTTGCGTGTTGCTGAATAGTTCCCAAAGCAGTAAGCTCTGCTAATCCCCCAAAACCGAGAGCATAATCTTCCAAACATGGAACTCGGGCTTGTTTGATCTGGCGGGTCTTTGCGGCGAGGCAGCCAGTTGGTGAGGCGCGTGTTGTTTTCTTAGTAGACCCAGGACTCATCTCCTGTGATGATCAACTTGAGGAAGTCTTACCTGTGCGGTCGCAGCAGTACACTATCGCAGATGGTCACGCGTGCAGCGCGGTCGTGGTTGGTCAATGCATGAGGTGTTTATCGAGACATCACTTGGCGCTAGCCCATTTAATTTAGAGGGTTAGCGATGGTGCTACGGCCGTATCTAACTGTCCTCTCCAAATCCTTGGTACCGGCAGCCGGATGCACTTCCAGCTAGCGGTACAAAGCGTCTTCGTCAAGGGTGACTGACCGGCCGAAATAGGGTTGAACTTCACAGCTCGTATCACCTTTGTCGAGACGCTTGAACCAGTGGCTCACAGTCCGATCTGTAGTAGTGCCTAGCCCAAATGCGCTGTTGATCTGCTCGGCCATCTTCCTTACACAAATCTCCAACTTATATTCATAAAGCATAATCGAGCGTAACTGGCGCTGATCCATTTTAATTCTTAGCTTTTAACTCACGTCGCGCGTGCTGTTTTGTACCTTCCGGCTAAAGCTTCCAGAACATTCTCCAACATGCCATAGCCTTTCGGCAATAACCCCATTTGAAATAGAAAAAATTCGAAAAAAAAGCAAGTGCGAAAGAAATTATGGGACAACCCTGTAGTTTTGGTCTCCACAACACACTGTTCCATTTTAGGTGGTGATGATTAGTGAGTATTAGGGGGTTTATTGGGTTTTTGTGCAGATTCATTGCAACTAGACTCAGGCAGACAGTCACCACACAATAAAGAAAGCGATAGACAGCCCTTTGCTCTTATTGGACTCATCAGTAGAGTGCACCAGCTGAATGCTTCCGGATTCAAACCTAAGACGTATCGTTGTGACAAACGATACAAGAAAGTGCTTTATGCATTCAGAACGGGTGAATCTTCAGCCGTAACATACACATTTTCAGTGATAAAGCATGAATTTCAAAAAGTGGATCCTTAATCGAAAGAAAACAATACCATTATATCATAAACCAGTTTGTTAATTCTTGGATAACTTTGATTTGATCTAGCATAGATCACGCAAGGTAGGGGGTAATTGAGGTACGCTACACTCGTACATGCGAATATATGGAGTTACATTTCTGGAACATTAGAACAATGGTATATTACGGGCAAAAAAGCGGATGCTTATCAAGTCCCGTAGGATGGTCAGAATGGGAAACACGACAAGGTGAACAGCAAATAAAGGATAAAATGAAAATCCTTTTTGTGGACTCACCACACTGTTAAAACAGAGGCACGTAGGAAGAGCCAACCTCAGTCATGAAGGTTTATTCTGGTTGTGCAACCCTCGTCGCATTTAATCGTCTGCCAAGACACAAAGCCTAAATTTTTTGATATAAAGTTGGGATTGAGCAACGTCAATGCGTTTTTTAAACACAGGTAAAACGGGGGGGGAGACAGATTAATTTAGGAGGGCGTTCCAAGGCTGGCACACAAGAAAACAACAAAGGTGTCGTCGACGTTCTTGCTGACTGTGTTGAGTGACTACTTGAACTGGTAACCCCACAAATTCGCGTTGTGGCTCAGTTGTAACGGGTAGTGGGAGACATGGTTGGAGACTATTAAAATTTGTTAGGCCATACTAAGGTCGCCACGTAGGCGCCGGTACCGGTCACTGTATAATTTTAGGGTCCTCAGTCTAATTTCATAAGGAAGATTGAACAATCCTTTGAGGTGCTTCGTGCCTCATCGATGTGGATTCTCGAGCGCTGCATGGTCTTGCTTGCGCCAGGCCTACCAGGCTTGGATTGCGTATTCCACATGAGGAGGCACGTAGGTGTTGAGCAACTGCGAACAGGCAGAGGGACCAAACCGCACAAATGCTCTCTGTAGCACGCCAATATTTTGATTCCCAGTCTTTGACGCCTTCTCAGATTGTCCTGAGCACCCCAGATCAGCCTGGACTAGTACCCCAAAGGAGCGCTCCAGCGTGGCTGCTTGCAGGATAGGGTTTCCAATGTTTTATGTGATGTTCGGCTGGCGGCGAATATGAACTACCTTACACTTTCCCGAATTGAACTGGAGCAGATTGTGGACTTACCACCCATACGCTCTGTCCAGGCCTCGCTGAAGTGTATCGTGATTTGCTGGGTCAGCGATCATCCGCCACATCTTAACATCTTCAGCAAACAGCAAGAAATCTGAGTAAATCAAACGCGTAAGCTCGTTACTGAACATGAGAAACCGACGCGACTCCAGAGCTACTCCTTGTGGAACTCCACATTCGACACCAGACTTCTAACCCTGACCTGCAGTTGACGATTCTGCAGAAAACTAGTGATCCACCCAAGCAGAGGATCATCAACTTCATAGCTTTCGAGCCTGTGAAGCAGAATGCGGTGGTCCAGTCTGTCGAACGTTTTGGAGAAGTCGAGGTCAATGACCTCGATCCCTCTGCCTTCATCGGCCCCTTCCGTCTAACTCAGTGGTTCCCAACCTTTTAGACGCCGTTATCCACAAAGGGGTTGCCCACCAGACTTTTACCCCCAAACTTACGAAAGACCACTACGTAATAACTATTGCACATTTCGCTCTAAAGTTCAAAAACAAATGTCATATGTAGTTTCACGTGCTCATGCAATTGAAGGAAACACCCCTTCTCACTACATAGTTATCCGACTTAAGTACGAGAAGTGATCGGTATCCGGAATCTCCCTCGACAAATAAACGAAAGAAAACAGTACTTTTAATTCAAAATTCTATGCAAACAAGAGGCGATCTACATCAATGAGACGGTTGGCGTTGTTTGGTGGTAACCATTTCTGGTATATTTCGTGCAGTTTCGGCCAATGCACATCGCAAGTCGGGCTCCAAGTTCATTCGATTCCTTGCTTTTGTTTTCATTACCATCATTGTCAAAAATGCACTTTCACATTTATAAGTTGTTGCAAATGGGATCAATATTCTCAATGCGCTTTCCGACAGTAATGGATACTCTTCACCTATCTTTGCCCAAAATGATACTAGTTGCGTGCTTTGGAAATCTACCTTCAATCCGCTGTCCTCGCGCATTCCTAGGAATTGTATCTTGATTTCGAATTCAGTATCTGGAAATATTCCTTCAGCTACTGTAAACGGTCTTAGCACCCAGGCACTTAATTGGCG